ACCCCCAACAGCAGTCCTGTGGTATTCATGACTTAACTTTTGGGCTACAAGGAGGGAACACGGGAGTCCCTGCTACCCTTGAAGCTCAAAGGAAAACTGAGCAGAGGTGTTAGCACAACCTGAGAGGTCCCTGAGGCCATGCCATAGAGAAGTCTCTGGGCCCAGAAATCGGGAAGAAGAGTCCCACATGAAGCCCAAGTTCAAAGATTGTTGAACCTGCCCTTTTTATGGAGTATATAGCCACCAGGTGGCAGCCAAGGCTACAGACAAAGAGAAATCAGCCTTCAAAAGTGAAGGCCGAGGGACCAATGATGTTCAGGGGGGCTCCTTACTGACCCCGGAACCTTTAAATAGAGAGAGAACACGTGTGTATGTGTACCTATGTGAGGCTGAGAAGGATGGGCAGACACACAGGTGCATAGAGGACTGGCACTCAGTCCCCTTCCTTTGGGTCTCTTCACCCCTCCCGGGGCTTCCCTTCCTTGGCCCCCCGCCCTGCCCTGGTGTTGGGGATGCCAAGGGGGATGTGATGTATGTAGGTGCTTCCCTTAAGGAGCTCCCAGATCTGGGGCCGAGGCTGGACAGAGACAAGGAAACAACACAGTAGGGAGTGGGGAGACCATAGCTGTCTAGAGGAAGTCCCTAACCTAAGGCTGGGGAATCAAGAAGTAGCTTTCCAGAAGAAGAGATTTCTAAACTGACCACAGAAGGATTGCTGGCAAATCTCAGGTGTGATAATAGCATATATATTATCTCTATTTCTTCCCAACAGACTGGCAGGGAAGATACACAAAATCAGTTTCAGTGATACTGGAATGGAGAATCTGAAAGGCTACACAGTCCTATAGGTTGTTGTTATGTGCTGTCAAGTCGGACCCGACTCATAGCGACCCCTCCTTGGGTTTCCGAGGCAGTATCACTACGGAAGTAGATTGCCCAACCTTCCTTCCAAGGAGTGGCTGGTGGGTTTGAACCACCAACCTTCTGGTTAGCAGTCAAGTGCCTTAGCCACTATGCTACCAGAGCTCCCAGTCCTATAGGTAGCAAAGTGCAAAGCTGGAATTTGCACCACAGTCTGCAAGTCAAGCTCCTGGCCACTGTGCCAACTGCCAAGGATCTAACAATGAGATGAGAACCAAGCTAAGGAGTGGGAGGGCTGGTCACCCTGGTCCTGGAGCAAGTTCTGACTGCTCCAGTCATGACTCACCTATGAAGTTGTTCCGAGAGGACAAGAAAGAGTATGTATAACTCAGGTCCCATCCCCCATCACTAAACCCCACCCCCAAGCTGGGGGTGGAAAATCTTAATCTCTTGGTTCATTGAAGCATAATAACAAAGCAGTATTTCTGCTCATGTTATTCTGAGGATGAGGGAAGTAGTCTTGAAAATCATCTTGACCACATGATCCTCTGCCCTAAAGCAGGTGGGACTCTGGAGATAGGAGAGAACTCTCAGACTTTTTGGAAACCCATTCCAGGCTGAAGTTCCTCTTTAGGACTAACTGAAGTAAGCAGTGCTGCAGTCTACCCTCAACTGTGCAGCCCTGGATGGAGGCTTTCCATGACTGAGCGTGGATGTAACCTCTCATGTTACCCTGTGAACTCCATGCTTTAGTAGGAGAGGAGAAAGAAAGGTCCAGGTCCTGGTCCAGGAAGCAGGAAAAGCAAGAACGACATATGACAGTCTGACAACAGAGGTCCTAGAGCCAGAGCAGCAATTCCCAGAGAGCTGGTGGAAGGGAAGGTTGGAGACCGCTGCTGCACAACACAAAAAAGGGAGACTCCAGTGAGGGAAGGTGAAGGGACTCTGGCCACCAAGGGGTGGCACCAGGGCAGCTGGGGATAGTGGAGAGAGCTAGGGAGGGGAAAACAGGAAGAATGATCTGGAAATACAGGCACCAAGCTCGTGTGGAAGGAGGAGAAAGCGAGGAGAGACAAGAAGACGGAGATGAAAAGAGAGGCCCAGAGACACACGTATTCGGAGAAGGAACGTTGGAAACAGAGCTTGAGGGAGGCTGAAAGACACCAAGAGAGGCAGAAGGAAGAGAACACAGGAGTGGAGAACCTGCCTGTTAGGGGTCCTACCCCGCCCAGCCCACCTGGGCTGGTCCCGCCCCCTTGTCTGTCACTTAAGAAGATGAGAATCCCCTCCTCCAGGGACACCGAGTAGAGCTGGCCTCCGCTCCCTCCCCTTCCCCCGCCCCGCCCGGCCCAGCTCAGCCCAGCCCGGTACCCAAAGGCTCCCCCTCCCAGGCCCCCTGAGCGCCGCCCCCTCGGGACTAGCTGCGCGGCCCCGATAGATGGTTGGGGGCCCAGCTGCTGCGTTATCAGCCTCCTCCAGGAACGAGCCTGAGCCACTCAGAGGCTGCCAGTCTAAGATTAGGCCCCGGGTGGGTCATTAAGCGGCTGCCCTGGCCTGGGCCCAGCCTCCTTTCCCTCCCCGATCTGGCTGGGCTGGCAGGTGGGAACCAGTGATAAGGATTGGGGGGCTCGGATGGTTCTGGGGCTGGCAGCTCCATGCTCGCAGCCTCTTGTCAGGGCAGGAGCATGAGGCAGTGGGGGTAGGGAGCCAGTCTCGCCGCTAGCAGGGACCCCCACCTCCAACCCCCACTCCCTGGCTTCCCACCGTCCTGATTATGCCCAAATTGAGAGAGCCAGCATGGGGAAGGGGCTAGGGAGGCTTCTAGATACCACACACACACACAGGATGCAGGATCTGCCCCAGGAAACAGGGCAGAACATCAGCTACTAGGGAACAGGTGAGTAAGGGCCGAAGCAAGCCCTTCCTGATAAAACCTCAAGTGTGGACGGCTGGGCTTCACCTTGCTGCAAGGAGACAGATGGCTTTGCAATCAGGCCAGGATCTGTGGGTTCACTGGGGTGGAGTGGAGACCACACTACACTCTCCACACTCCCCAACGACAGGGACCAGGGGTGGGAGGGAATGGGACCTCAGGCAAGGAGAATCAGATCCAGGAATCCAAAAGTCCAGCCAAAAGGGGGGTGCACCTCAGCAGCAACCTGGCCCTCTAGGAACTTGTGTCTCTCCTTCAGTAAGTGAGAAGCTGGAATGGCTGGCTCACTAGCTCTACTCTCTAGTCTAAACAAGGAAGACTCCACAGAGGAAGAGGAACCTTACCTACACCAAGAAAAAGGAGTAGAGTTCAAACTGGCAGAGGTGGGGAGAAGATAGCAGTCACAGAAAACTACCTGAGCAAAAGCTTAGGGTAGAAATCACAAGAGCCACAGCCACAGCCACAATTTAAGATGAGGCCCAGAGAGGGGAGGTGACTTTCCCCAAGTCAAACAGCAAGGCAGGGGTAGGCTTTGGGCAGACTCTGCTTTCCTCATTCAAGAATCTTCCCTCTATTGTAGCCTGAACCGCAAACCCGGTGAGGTGAGAAGAAATGTAATTCTGTTTGAAGGTGGGTCTTCTCCAGGGGTATATGGGTGAAGCCTTGGAACAGCAAAGTAATGGCCATAATGGGGAAGCATGGGTACGGTGACTAACTGGGACAGGAGGCAGAGATCTTTGGGACAAAGTGGACTGTCTCCTACCTTCTTGCCCCATGCTTCCAGATCTAGGAATGATCTTAGGTAAGTCTGTCTCAGGTTGTCACCCCAAAGAGAGAGACAGGCTGTAAGAAAGTCAGTCCCAGAGAGGCGAGGGGCCTCCGGGTTACCAGCCAAGCTATCATGACTGCTCTCTCCTCTCCCCACTGCTTCATTCCCACTAGTCCCAGTGCCCTGGCCCCCATCCCACCCAAGACTGGGAGTGAGGAGTGTTGGACTGGAGTGTACTTCAGCTCTGTGGCCAAATCTCCCACAAAGGGGAAGCTGGGGCTGAGAGGACAGTGACTCTTCCAAAGTCACACAACTAGTCAGCAGGGGACCCAGCTGGGCTCCCCAAGTCCCAGACCAAGACTCTTCTCTCCTGGCCCAGCCATAAGACTTTTGGCTTTTGGTTCTCACTGGAGCAGTGAGAAATGATTCTAAAATACACCACAATGCTAGGCATCATGGAGGCATGCTGCAAGGGTTGCCTAGAATGCCAGGTGTATTTGAGAGGTGGGGAACTTGTAAGACGGGCTCTGCATGGAGCAAGGGGTAGAGGGGGTGAGCCCCTGGCCCCATGAGACCTCCTGGAGAAGCCTCTAACATCTTTTTCCTGCCTTCCTTACATGAAAGAGAACCTGAGGACAATTCTTAAGATGAACCAGCTCACATCAGGATCCACCCTGATCAGGAAGCTCTCCTGATTGTTCTGGGCTGGACCACTGGACTGCTCTGGCCAAAGAGGGGATTTGCCTGGCAGGACAAGGACCACTCTGTTGTCAGGGATGAGCTCTCCTGTCCCTGGTCTCCCTGCCTTCCCAACTCTCCTACGTACGCAAGACAGCAGACACCCCACTCCTGGGCATTTGCACACTCAGACATAAGAAGAGATAGACACTCACTTACACCCACTTTGGACCCAGGCATTCACCTCTCCCAGCCTGGCTCTCTCTTGGCCCCAGTTACCCTCTGAGTGCAGGGGTATCTGGGTAATCCTCCAAAGCAGTGGCTTTGGAAAGTAATTTTCAGATTGAGAAAGCAAAACCCAGCCTCACTGGCAGCCTGAAGGGCTATTTTTTAGCCCTGGAAGCCTCAGCCCCGAAGTATAAAAGTCTTTATTTCACAGAAATAAGGGCCGTTTCTACAGTGATGGGGAGGAGACGTGAGGCAGCATGGAGGGTGCTGGACTGACTGTTCTCTTCAGAAGGCTCTTCTGAATAGGGTGGGAGTCTCCCTAGGAGACCCCAGGGCCACAGCCAAGCCCCAACCTGGACATAGTCTGAGGCCCAAGGTTGGCTGCTATAATTAAGGGAGGGAGGGGCTGATGTGGGGGTTGGAGAGAGTCAACCCCTGACTGTAGATTTCTGCATAGAGAAGGCGAAAGGGCCGGGCATCCATCACACATGCCTGGGAACCTCAGGGCAGGGGCCCACAGGTGAGCAGGAGTCACATGGGGGTGCTCCGGACCTTGCCCTCCTTCTCCTCCTCGGGGATGTTCTCATAGGCATTTTCATGCTCACTAGACCTGAAAGAGGATGACAGGGCCTGGTGGAGTCATCAGCCTTCCATCCCATCCCCTTCTCCCTGCCCCATCCTGTACTTGTGAGGTCAGTATCTTCTAAAATAAATGTTTGATTCCCAAAAGGGAATTCCACATCTGGTTTCTTGTACCTGAGACTATAGGCCTCTCAGTACCGCCTTTCTGAACCCCATCTCCCTCTGAGCACCCTCTTCCATTGACCTTCCTCCCAGCACTGAGCCTCCTCCCCACATAAAGTCCCCTCCCCTACTCATCTTTTCACTGAACCACCTTCCCCCATTGAGCCACTTTTTGTCCCCTCTGCTCACTGAGCCCCTCACCTACCCAGTCCCCACCCCCTTACTGAGCCCTCTCCCTAAACTGTTTCCTTTTCCCATAGAGTTCTGTGGCCCTCACAAAGCCCAATCATTTCTTCAGCCACACCCTCACTGAACCCCCCCCCCTTCACTGAGTCCTTCCCCACCATAAGTCCTCACCTCCCCAGCTTTCTCCCCCTCAGAAGCACATTACACGAAGTCCCCCCTTGGGCCCCTGGAGCACAAAGCAGTCAGCCCTGTACCAGCACCTCACCTGAAGCTGGCCGCCATTGAGGAGTACCTTCCATCTGTCCCTGTTAGGATCCCATCTGTCTTGTTTCCAAGGATTGTGACCACGTTCACAGGTTCCCTGTGGACAGGGTCTATCAGTAGGACTTCTGGGTCTCCACCTTCTTCCCCTCCCCCACATGCAGGCCCTATTCTAGGAAATGACTTTCATGACCCCAAGGTGCAAAGGCTACTCCTTCACAGAATCGGCTGTCTCCAGCAGGACCCTTGTCAGTAGCCTGACTCGGTTCCCTGCCCTATGGTAGGGGAGGGGTCTCAGATTTGGGCCTAAGATTAGCAAAATCCTTATCCTAAATGGGCTGCCTCTCTCCATCCCTCTCCCAGCCTCCCTCTGCTGTTTCCATCCTGGTCTCAGCTCAGCCCCCAGTGCCTGCCCAAAATTTCTGCTGGCCTTTCATCGGCAGGAAGGAGCCAATGGGCCAGTGGCCAGTGACAGCAGAGCTGGGGCCAGCGGAGAAATGAAGCATTTTCCCACAAAAAGCTCTTCACCTAGTACTCAAGTTTACCTCACTGCCATGTGGCCTCTGCTCCCACCACCCCATAAACTGCTCTCACAGAGGTCACCAGTGACCCTTACGTTCCTTGGCCATCTGACAGGCATCTCAGACTTAACATGTCCCTAATTAAATTCAGCAGTTGTCCCTAGATCTGCTCCTCCTCTTGTGTTCTGTGTCTCAATGAGCAGTCCCCAGTCAGAAACCTGGACGTCACCCCTGCACTTCTTCCCCTCCTGCCCTCTGTGGTCTCCATCCACCAACTCCCAGGGGGTCCTAGACAGCTCCTAGACTATCCCTTTCTCTCCAGCCCATCTGCCACCTCTGTGGTTTAGTCTTTCTCCTGGTCTTACACACAACCTTCTCCCTGGTCTCCTCACCAACAGGCTGGCCTCTCCTATCCATTCATCATGTGGCACCCAGAGTGACTCTGCTAAGTCCCCAATCTTATCCTGAAATGGCCATTACCCTAAAGATAAAGGCCAAACCAAAATTTGGGTAATTGGCATACAAGATCCTGCTTGACCTGGGCTCTGTCTGGTCACCAGCCTCATCTCAGGCCTTTCCCATCCCTCTCCCCCCACATCCCCTGCCATAGTGAGCTGCTTGGGTTTTTCTAAGCCAGGCTTGCAGGCTGCTGTGAGAGTTGGAATGATGCCTTTCTGGACATGTGCAACAGGCTGCATTTCAACCCCACCCCTACCCTCTCTCTCTTTGCACATCTGCACTCAGCAACCCTAGAGACATGCCCCTAACTCACACCCCAGGTGTACTCTTCTCTGGGACTGCAACACTCTTCCCACCCAGCTCTGTCCCAGAACTGGCTCTTCCTCATCCTTCAGGGTAGCCTTCGCTGACCACTCAACCAGCTTGAGCTCTCTGACTGCACTCTGCACTTGTCCTTCAGCAGCAGTCACTGCTCTCTCCCCTTCCAGTCTCAGAGCCTGTGAGGGCAGCCATGTGTGTCTGTCCCACTGCCCCACAGCATGCAGCACAGTAGCTGACTCTCAAGAGGGGTGGGACCTCCCTTTCTGGAAGTTACCCCACTATACAGATAGAAGCACTGAGACTCCTGGAAGAGAAGACATTTACCAAAAGCTCACGGTGCATGGGCACCACTCTGGCCCAAGTCAGAAAGCAAGCAAGCCTAAGCTGTCATCCCAACCATCATCAACTCACCCTGTGACCTTGGGCCTCAGTTTCCCTTCCACACAATGAGAGGACAGGACTCAGGCATTTCTGAGGTCCTGCCCACTGTGACTAGAGCTGGTCCCAGGGGCAGCCCTGCCTGCTTGGGGGTCGGCCAGCCACCAGGGCCCTCAGAGAGCACTCACGGTTCTTCCTGACACCAGAAGTGATTGACAGCAAAGGCAATTGCAACGAGCACCAGGAACACAGCCACAGCGATGAGACCCTGCATCCAGGGCTTCAGGTTTCCCAGGCCTGCAGAGGGGAGGGGGTGGGCTGCTGCAGGCTGGCCATGGGGGACGCTGCAAGGACAGCAGGGAGAGAGGGGGACCTCACACACCAAGGGCTGGGAAGGCCATCAGAAGGCTGCCATTGTGGGGTGGCAGAGTGAGAATAAGTGCCCTTCTGACCCCATTGAATTTAAGAAAGGGATGGGGATTTGGAAGAAGGAAGTTCAAAGAGAATACAGGGCTTCAAAGGATTGAGGGGCCCAAGGAGGGAACAGGCCTCAGGTACTGCGTGAACTCTAGGCAGCCCAGGTCTCTTCCTCTGCCACAGTGGCCAGGTCACAAGCAATTTCCCCCAAGGAATACCCGGGCCTCAGGGACCAAAGGGCAGTCCCAGACAGCAACCTAGATCTGCCAGCCCTGAGTAGTTCACCTCCTCATCCCTGTCCCTGCAGACTGAGGGGCCACCCAAAGATGATACACCAAGCTGGCATCCGGAAGATCCTGTTCTGTAAAAAGAGGTCCCTCTGGTGCTGGTGAGGGTGTGGGAGTGTGGTGAAGCTCTCAGCTCAGGGTGGCAAGAATATTCAGAGAGGTGTGGAGCAGAACATCTTTGGAGAAGGAAGATAGGTCTGGGTGTCAGGGGAGGTCATGCAAGAAGGAAGCTTCAAAAACCGAGCCCCTTTTTGCTCCCCCAGCTTGGTGTCCAGAGAACCAGGGCAGAAACAAGATCTTGTCTTGCCCTTTCGCTGCTTTTTTGACCATTGGCTCTTGACACCACCTCAAATCCTTGTGATTTCCCAGAAGTCTTCTCCTTCAGTCCACTGACAACCCAAAGGGTGCTTCCAGAGCTTCCACCTACTCTTCTCCCAGGTGTCACTGTGCTCCTTGAGAAAGACCTGCATCAGGTAGGGGCCCAGGAGGGTACAGAGACTAACAGGAAGTTCCTTGGGGGTCTTGCTTCCAGGCCAAACCACCTGCATCCCTAGTGCCATCCTGTACTTTGAAGGACCCGGGCTGGGCATTGAAAACCTCACTCTGCCTCACTCTTGCACCAAAGTTCTTCCTGGTGTCTGTCCTATAGCTCTCCTGCTGCAACAAAGGCCCTGCCCCTTCTCTGACCCTTTCTAAGTCTCTCAGGTATTAGGAAGAGGAAGGAGTCAGGACACTCTGGCCTCTGGCCACATCAGACCTCGCTTATCTCCAGAGGTAACATAACACAGTGTGTTTACTCTGAATTCCATACTTTCCAAAAAGCAGCATTTCAGATTCATTCTTCCCCCCAGAGAAACAATGGTCTGACACATGCCTTTCCTCAGGTCAGTGCTTGCTCAAGGTTGGAAGTTAGGGAGTGCCTTTCCCTGCTTCCTCCAGATCCTGCACCGACTCCCTCCAGACACACCAGGGACCTCAGTCCCCTGCTCCTCCTTCCAGGTAGCATCTAGGTGGTCACATGGAGCAAGGGGAAGAGCCTGAGGCAAGAGAAAGGCGATCTGGGTCCTGCCCCTTCTTGTCCTGCTCTGTGACTGGCACAAATCACTCAACCTTACTGGTCTTCAATTCCCCAGAGCTTCTAAGACCTGGAAGCAGACACTCATGAGAGCTCAGGGGAACTGAGGGAAGGAGTGAGCGCTCTGGAGGCACCTTTACAACCCTCTCTGGACACAAGTCCCACCTGCAGAGTCCCCAGACTTTGGCTGTGATGACACAGCGGTGCAGGTGCCAGACTTTAGGGTGTGGTGCTCACTGTGTACAAAGCCCTTCTACACCCCTTTCCAGGCAACAGCCCTGGAAGATGGGTAGGGCAAGGCTTACTGTCCTTTTAAAGGTGAGAAAACAGTGTCAGAGAGGGGCAGTGATTTGCTGAAGGCCACACAGCAAGATAGAGTAGAGATGAACAAAGAGCTAAGGTGACTGGCAGGGGCCACACTAGAGCACTGGCCTTACCAAGCCCAGGAAGTTGAAACAGCAAAAATTTAGGTCAAAGCCACCAGCAACCCCTGACAGCACACCCTCTTCCCCTGGGACAAGCCCTTGGTCAGAGGCCTCCACACCCCAGCCCATACCCTCTGTTCCTTTGTCACCAGTCGGAAGACTTTGATGGGCTGAGTGGACCCTGTTTGAGTGCTTACTCTCCTTATAACCCCTGACTCCTGTCCCCAGGACCCAGCCATCTCTAGGGCACTCTCTGCTCTTGGGGCTTTGATTCCAACTCTTGTTCCTCCCTCAAAATCCTAGGCCCACTATTTTCCCTGCTGCCCCCATTTCTCAGTCATAGAAGAGAAATCTCAGACAGGAACCTGGCTCTGCTTTTCACTCTACTAGCTCAGTCCCTGTGCCCCCTCTTCCCACCCCAAACTACAGGTATCATCCCCAAAAGACCACGACCATGGTCCCCTGGGGTACCAGTGCCCAGCTCAGCCCTCTCCTTATTGCAGCAATCAGATCTGGCCCTGTCCTACCTTGTTGACAGCTTGCGGGTGACACTGCCGTGAGCAGGCCCAAAATGAGCAGGCTAAGAGCCGACATGGCTGCAGGCAGCACTTGGGGCCTTTGTCCAGCTGCTGTGTCTGGGCTCCTGGTGCCTCTGAGGGTGGCTGTCTCTGCCTGGGCTCAGTGGGCTCAGTCTGGCCCTGGAGGAAAGGAACTAGCAGGGATTAGAGTGAAGGAGGGAGGAGGAGGTAAGGAGGGAGGAGGAGGGAGAAACCTCCCTCCCTCCCATGGTAATGAACTGTTGGGGCCTGGCCTCCCCTGGCTGGTGCCCAGCCCACTCAAGCTGGCATTGGAGGTCATCTTTCAGAGGCTGGCTAAGGAGATGGATTTGCAGACCAGGAAGATGTGAGGAGAGTCCTGGCCTCACCCCCAAGCCCCAGTCGTCCTAATTTCTGCCTGAACTACCCGTTCCCAGAAGTCGGGCTGGGCTCTGGGGAAAGAAATGACACATTGTCCCTCTTGTTTGAGTGAGCCCAAAGGGCGGGGCCTCTTGGAAGGCTGACAGTAGAATAAAGAAATGTGTTCAGGACGTGGGGGAAAACCCCACAGGCCCGGGGAAGGCTCAAAGCTGCCCAAGCTGCCCACCTGGACTGTTTCCTGTTCTCCCCATCACCTGTCCCTACTCAGCCAAGTCAGATCCTGGGATCCCAGTTCCAGGACACAATCCCTGTCTTCTGTGGCCCCTGGCCCAAACCAGTAGCTCCCAAAATCCACCTGCTCCTATGATGATCACTACAGAGGTCCTGAAGCCCCCAGCCCCAGCCTTCCCAGCCCTGGACCAAGCCCCTACCCAGCCCAGCTGACTGGACTTTCCCTCCCATCCAGATGTGGTCCCTAGAAGTGGTGTGTGCTTCCCTCCAACTAGTCCTCAGGAAGGCCTCCCTCAGACAAGATTGGGGCTTGGTCAGAGGCCTCACACCCCAGCCCATACCCTCTGTTCCTCTGCCACCTGTCGGAAGACAAAGAATGGGTGAGCTCAGCCCTGCTGCTGGAGACCCAGACTGAGGTGAAGGAAAAACACCTCCAGGTGGCCCAGAATCTCTGAGTCCCCAGCCCTCCTAGCTGGGAACAGCCTTGAGGAAGTCTCACTCTTTCCTGACTGGGAAGCCCTGTTGTCAGATTTTCATAAGAGGCAAAAATCCCCAAGGATCACATAGAACTTATCAGACCCTCTAGCTGAGAATGATCAAGTACCCAATGGCATGGGAATGGACCCAGGGCTGAGGGCCATGATGGTCCCCTTGCCCTACCCCATGGGAAGCTGGAGATGCTGACAGTCCATCTCCACAGACACCAAGAAAGAAGGAACCAGGCAGACTAGGGGGAAAGTCTCAGAGATGAAGGGTCCTCAGAAGGCAGTAGTCCAAGGACAGATCAGGACACCACTCTACAGCCTTCCCACCAGGAAGCTACCAACTGCTATCCCCTGGGTGTCTATTCAGGACAGTTTTTCCTTGGGAGCACTCAGACATCATGTGTCCTCTCTGCTTGCTGTGTGTGTGTGTGTGTGCGCACATGTGTGCAGGAAGCCCATACCATCCAAAGGTGGGGTATGTCAAGTTGAACTAGGGGAACTTGGCTTGGAGTTGAACGATGCCTCCCATGCATGTGTATCCTTCTCTCTTCTCCCTCCCCACTTGTCCTCAGAATCTTCTGGCACAAAGTCTGCCTAGTGTAAGCACAGTATATGTTAATGAACAGCCAGGGGCTCACTGACTGGAATGTAAGGAATGGGGCTTAATTTTACAGACACCTAAATGATGCCTTCTTCAAGGGTTTTAAGTAGGCCTCAGTGGTCAGGTTTGCATTTGAGAAAATGTGGTCTGCACACAATGCTGAGAAGGAAAGGGGAGTGGAAAGAGGGTGAAAGAAGGGAGACTGCTTCAATAGCCACAGAACAAATAATATGGCCTGCACCTGGAGAGTGGCATGGGCATGGACTTGAGCTCTATGTAGGAGGTAGAATGGGATATGGTTGCTAGAACATGGTGACTGGCTAAAAATGGGTGGTGAGGGTGAGGCAGAAGCTGAGGGTAACACCCAGGTTTCTGGCTTGAGCACCTGGGTAAATGTGGTACCTCAGAAAGGGCCAGAGCAAATTTGGGGGTTGGGGAAGTTAGGTGAGCTACAGGCCTAGATGGATTGTGTTTGTGCTATCTTTGGGCCCTCCATAGAGAGACATCCAAAAGGTCATTAGATCCATGCATCTGGAGCTCAGGGAACCATCTGGAGCAGAGAGCTAGATCAGGAGTCATTATGGCACAGGGGTGGTGACTGAGGCATGAAGTGCATGGCCTCACTGGGAGAGGAGTACACAGTAGGAGGAATGCAGGGAACAGGAGGGGAGCAGAGGGACGAGGACACAGCCCTAACACATAAGGCCTTTCCAAGAAAGAGGAGGCAGGAGGAAGAAACTCAGATGAGTGGTGTGTCCCAGAAGCCCAGGAAGGAGGGATCCTAGAAGAGACAAGCAGGGAAGTCACTACTGTGACCTCTTCACTCTAACCAGCACCCTCATGGGCAGCCCAGTTTCCCCCATAGTCCTCAATCCCAGGTTCTGCCTCCCTCATTCAATCCAAAAACCAAACCCACTGCCATTTAGTTGATTCTGACTCACAGTGACACTACAGGACAAAGCCAATCTGCCCCACAGGGTTTCCAAGGCCGTAAATTTTAGTGGAAGTAGACTGCCTCATCTTTCTCCCGCGGAGCAGCTGGTGGGTTCAAACTGTCAACTTTTTGGTTAGCAGCTGAGTGCTTTAACCACTACACCAGCCAGCAGAGCTCCTTTCCCTCACAAAAGCCTCCCCATATTCCCTAAAACCAAAGGAACTTGGGGAGGGCAAGGGCTCCCTGAATGATGTTTCTGGGTGGGGAAGGTGAAGGGAGAAGAGAGGATGAGCAGGAAGGATATCAGGTGACCAACAGGAGAAAAACACACACCTCCAGGGTCAAAGTCCCAAGCTTTAGAGCAAAACAAGTTGTTCCGGAAAAAAGGAGGGGTGTGCGTGGACACTTGGCTTTAAGTCTGGTCCCTGTCCACCACCCACCCCACCCCCACCGCAAGTCCTGACTCAGCTGAGGGGGTTGTCTCCACAGTTGTACAGACACAGGCTGGGTGCCCTCTGCTGGCCTGGCTTGGGCCCAGGGCCTGGACTCAGGCCTCAGCAGCCCTATACTGCTGGACCCTGTGTCCTCATGCCTGAGCAGTGGCTCCATCAGTGCTCAACTCCTCTCCTGTTCCCAGCCCCAGTTCTGCCACCCCAACATGTCAGGTACCCTTAGACAGACCCTCTATCTAGCTAGATTTTGTACGACTTCCCCTGAGGAATACCAAAGTGGGCCTGGACTATTTCCTGGGGTCGCCTTCCTCCCTACCCTGCTCTATCTGCCATTCCACTTGTTACCAGCAGATGGCAGTGTCCAACTCCAAGCCCAGACTGGAGTGGGCAGGGTTCAGTTTCCTCTCTTCAGTCACCTATAGGAGTGGGTATGGACTTGAATGGTTTTTTCATGCCAGCTCCCAACTCCTGCCCTGTTCCAAGGGATGATTAGGAGGAAGAGAGGGTGGGCACTGATGTGTGAACAGTTAATAACAGTACACATGGCATGCCCCAGTGTCCTGTAGCAAATGAAGCTGGAAATGAATAAGACATTTTAGTTCTAGTTGCATCCTGTCTCTTACCTCTACCTGTGGTAACAGAGACTGGGTCTGATTCATCTCTGTGCACAGATGAGAAGACACAATCATCGTTCCTCTGAGAGTTGGAGCTGTCCAGCACCAGAATGAATGTGTTCAAGAGAGTGAGCCACGTGACCTTAGAGGTGTCCAAGCAGAGTCAAAGGACCAACTCACCCAACAGGAAGGAAAGTCTGCAAAGGAGCTTCTACCCCTTCTAACTCAAGAAGCCTGCAATTCTGTGATCCGTTAACAGAACGTGATTGATTTTCATGTTTTAAGAAGGTTCTGAGGAAGAGAGCTCGGTTATGAATGGTGAGACATGCTCCTCTCAGGATCAATCATTTCATTTATTGGGTCTACCTTCACTTAGGGTTCCCCTGACAATGGGCGGTCATTGATAGAACTCCAGGGTTCATCAGCATGGTTGAGGAAAATATTCCTTAAGTATTTCATAACTTCTAACTGAAACTTCCTATTTCCTCCCACTAGGAATGATGGCAACAAACCACAGATCCTTTGTGATATTTTCACGTCATCATACAATTATTACAGATATCTGGATATATAATTTATGCCCATCCTATAAATTATAATATTCATTGGAACCTCCAGTAAATCTTGCTATGTAACACATTATAAAGGTACACATAAGTGACTGTATTGCAATGACTATTTTTAATATTTTCATAACTATATTTCAGTATAATTCATTTTCTTTACAATGCTATGCATTTTATTTTATACATTAAAAACAGTACTCTGAGAAGATGTCCACAGGCTTCACCAGACTACTCAAGGATTCCATGGCACAAAATGGGTTAAGAAGTCCTGATTCAGCAGTATCCTGGAATAGGTCTGCTCAAAGCAATGTCATGTGATCTTTGGAGCTATGGTCAGATTGAATGGGTGCTCACCCTCACAGATGGTCCCAGTGCCTGGGTGGTGGAAGTAGCAGCCCAGAGCCAGCTGAGCCAGGGAATGTGTTGGCTGTAACTCCTGGGTCCTAGGAGACCCCACTGGGCTGGTGTGATTTATGGCCAGCACCCCCAGTAGGGAAAGATAAATCACCCCCTCCTACTGCCCACTCACCCAGCCAAGAAACCAAAGGGCTGGCCCAATGCCAGGAGCCCAGCCTGCCAGCAGAGGTCCCAAGGCCAAATCTTTGCCCAGTGATTCCAGCACAGCCCTAGTCCCTACCCAGGGCTCCAGGCTGGTGGTAGAACCAAGTGAGGGTGCTGTTTTCTGTCTTTCCTGGCCTAAAAGGTCATCATGAATGTTCCTTATTTTCTAGCTGGGGAAATTGTGACCCAACAAGGAACAGTCACTAACTGAAGTTAACACAGTAAGTTGTTGC